ATATATATATATATATATATATATATATATATATATATATATATATATATATATATATATACATACACACATACATACACACACACACACACATACATATACAATACATAGGGAAACACATATGATTATATACATGTTAAGGAATTTAGAATATGTGGGGAAATGTCTATGACATTGTATTCTTTTCTGTAACTTTATTACTTATAAAATTATTTTTTTTAAAGCCAAACCAAAAATGTTAATTTTTCAAATAACCCCTTCACACTGGCACTTATGTATACACGACTGCCAGGCTATACAACCATACCCAGCAATCATATATAAATGATTAGCAATTTATGCCTTATCTACAGTAAAAGTGCTCACAACGCAGCGGCATAGGGAGCTGCGGCAATTTTTTTCACTAATGGTGTAAGTGGGGGGGGCCTCATGTTTGACTTTCGCCTAAGGCCTTGCAAAGTCTAGAGCCGCCTCTGCATTGAATCAATGCATCTCTATGGAGAACGCTGTCTCCATGCAGAGCGTGGAGATGCTGAATGAAGGAGCTGCATACTGCAGTACTGGACTAGAAAGCACCTCTGTTGGTCCTGCCTCCATCGCTGAGACTAGCACGGTTATAAAGAAAACCCAATGAAAACTTGCATGCATTTAATCAGCTTGCAAAACCTGCAATTCTCTTGTCTGCTGCCTTTGTAAGCTCTCCCCTTCTAACCCCGCCCAGACTTTCTGTATCTGTCCAATCACAGACTTCCCAATACCGTTTAATGAGAAGTCTTTGTAAATCAGGTGCTCTGAGCAATTGCTGCATCTTAAGGTCCGCTGCATTATTACTATTTTATTATTTATATAGCGCCAACAAATTCCGTAGCGCTGTACAATGGGTGGACTAACAGACACATAATTGAGATCAGACCACTGACGTACAGGAACAGAGGGGGTTGAGGGCCCTGCTCGATGAGCTTACATGCTAGAGGGAGAGGGGTATAGTGACACAAAGGGTTAAAGTAGGGGAATTAAATAGTTTGTTACAGAAGGGTTTATTGAGTGCTTGGTAGGTCATTTTTGACAGGTGAAGGATCATGGGGTGGGGGATGAGAAACCTGCTGACAGTTTAATTGATACGCTTTAGTAAAGAAGTGAGTTTTCAAAGATTTTTTGAAGGAATGGAGGCTGGGTGAAAGTCTGATTGAGGAGGGAAGGGAGTTCCACAGAATAGGTGCAGCCCTGGAGAAGTCTTGAAGGCGAGCATCAGAGGTGGGGATCCGGGCAGAGGATAGGAGTAGGTCTTGGGCTGAGCGCAGGGGTCTCGACGGGACATACTTGTGTATGAGGGAGGATAGGTATGTTGGAGCAGCATTATGTAGGGATTTGTAAGCAAGCGCCAGAATTTTGAATTGGGCCCTATATCTAACTGGAAGCCAATGCAGGGACTGACAGAGCGTGGAGGCGTGGGAGGTGCGACCGGACAGGAAAATAAGCCTCGCAGCCGTATTCATTATAGATTGCAGCGGTGCAAGCTGGGAACATGTAAGACCGTGAGAAGGGATTGCAATAGTCAAGGCGAGAGAGAACAACAGCATGAACCAGTACCTTAGCCGCGTCCGGCGTTAGATATGGGCGGATGCGCGCTATGTTCTTGAGTTGGAAGCGACAGGATTTGGCTATCGATTGAACATGGGGAGTAAAAGAGAGATCAGAATCAAAAAGAACTCCTAGGCAGCGAGCCTGGGAGGTAGAGGTGATAGTAGCGCCGTTGACTTGGATGGCGACAGACACGGGAGTAGCAGCACTTGAGGGAGGAAAAACTAGAAGTTCTGTTTTGGACAGGTTGAGTTTAAGGAAGTGAGCAGCCATCCAGTTGGAAATAGCAGAGAGGCAGTCAGAAACACGAGTCAAGGTGGGCGGAGAGAGATCAGGGGAGGACAGGTAGATTTGCGTGTCATCTGCATATAAATGGTATTGGACGCCAAAAGAGCTGATGAGTTTACCAAGGGAGGCAGTATAGATAGAGAACAGTAGGGGGCAGAGGACAGAACCTTGGGGACGCCGACAGGGAGGGGTTGGGGAGAAGAGGCAGAGAAATAAACACTGAAGGAGCGCTGGGAGAGGTAGGAGGAGCACCAGGAGAGAGCAGAATCCCGTAGACCAAAGTTACAGAGAATGTGAAGAAGCTGTTGATGATTAACAGTGTCAAAGGCGGCAGAAAGATCAAGGAGGATTAGGATAGAGTATTGGCCGCGAGATTTAGCAGCAATTAAATTGTTGGATACTTTGGTCACAGCAGTTTCGACAGAGTGACCAGCGCGGAATCCAGACTGAAGGGGGTCAAGCAGAGAGTTGGATTCAAGAAAGTCTGTCAATCTGGCGTAGGCAACTCTCTCGAGGATCTTGGAGGCAAATGGCAGTAGCGAGATAGGCCGGTAGTTGGATGGGGAGTTGGGATCGAGGTTGGGCTTTTTCAGAATTGGGGTTACGGTTGCATGTTTGAAGGCAGAGGGAAATGTGCCAGAGGAAAGGGAGAGATTGAAAATGTTAGCGAGAGGAAGAGCAAGAGAGGGAGACAAAGTGCGGATGAGATGCGAGGGAATAGGATCGAGGGAGCAGGTGGTGGGGCGGGAGGACAGGAGCAGAGCAGAAACCTCTTGTGCTGTAGCAGGTGCAAATGAGCTTAGGATGACAGGGGGAGTGGGGTTGGGTGATGTATTGATACTGGTTGGAGAAAGATTAGAGATCTCTTTCCTGATTGTAGAGATCTTCTCAGTGAAATGAGATGCAAAGTTTGTGGCGGACAAGGTGGTGGAAGGAGGGGGAGTCACAGGGCGAAGAAGTGCATCAAAAGTGTGAAACAGGTGTTTGGGTTGGTGGGACAGTGTGCTTATGAGGGTGTTGAAGTAGCTTACTTTTGCAGAGGAAAGAGCCATGCTGTAGGAGCGCAGCATAAATTTATAGTGGACAAAGTCAGATGCAAAGTGAGACTTTCTCCAGCAGCGTTCAGCAGTTCTGGAACATTTTTGGAGGTAACGGGTCAGCTTGGTGTGCCAGGGTTGTAGTTGGGGGCACTTGCTGCGTTTAACTGTAGGAGGTGCCATGATGTCAAGTTGAGAGGAGAGAGTTGAGTTGTAGAGTGAGGTTGCAGAGTTCGGGCAGTTGTGATTTGAGATGGGTAAAAGGAGTGTTTGGAGTTTGGTGGAGAAGTGCTGGAGATCGAGAGAGTTGAGGTTTCTGCGAGGTTGGAGAGTGGACGGTGGTGAGATTTTGGTATGGGGTATGCAGATGTCAAATGTTAGCAGATGGTGGTCAGACAAAGGAAATAGAGCAGTGGCGAGATCAGAGGTAGTACAGAGATTTGTGAAGATGAGGTCAAGAGTGTTTCCTGCAGTGTGAGTTGCTGAGGAAGAAATCTGTGTGAGTCCAAAGGAGGAGGTTACATAGAGCAGACGAGAGGCATCAGGGCAATTGAGCTTGTTGATAGGGATATTGAAGTCCCCAAGTATGAGAGAGGGAGTGCTAGAGGAAAGAAAGTGGGGTAACCAGGAGGAAAAGTGTTCAATGAATAGTTTAGGGTGACCGGGGGGGGCGATAGATGATGGCAATTCTTAAAGGAGTGGGCTTAAAAAGGCGTACAGTGTGAACTTCAAAGGAAGTAAAGGATAGAGCAGGGGCAGGGAGGATAGGTTGAAAGGTACATTGAGGGGAGAGAAGGATGCCGACACCACCTCCTTTACAGTCAAGTCTAGGAGTATGGGAGAACTGTAGACCACCAAAACATAAAGAAGCAGGAGTAGCGGTGTCGGATGGAGATAGCCAGGTCTCAGTGAGTGCCAGTATTGTGAGAGAGTTAGAGATGAGGAGGTCATGTATAGCTGTAGATTTGCATTGATCTAAGGAAACCAGGAAGTAACATTACCTGTTGTCTGCTTGAAAGCAATAGCTCCAGTCTTCTCTTATAGAAAGTACAGGGGTATTTTACACCATGTAGAAACATCTGAAAGTTGTAGCAAAAGTTCAGTATAGTAATTAACATTAAAGGGTCACTCCAGACCCCTCTGAAATGGCTATGTTTATAGAAAAATGGGTTAACCCTAGCTGGACCTGGCACCCAGACCACTTCATTAAGCTGAAGTGGTCTGGGTGCCTATAGTGGTCCTTTAAGTCACAGAATGGGCCGATTAACAAATAGATTACAAAGTGTCTGCTAACAGGTCTCTTTACATTCATGGAGAATTTAAAATTTAAGGTCAAGATAGCTAATCTGGAAAGATTCTCTAAGCCAGCCATGCTTCCATTCAGTTTTTCTGTAGGTGTAATTCTCATTTTAGTGAATACACTGGTTGAAGTTTTCCCCATTTCACTCAGTTTTGATGTTTTCAATGAGCACAGCTCCTTCCTCACACTGTGTCTGTAACTCCCCACAGACTCTCTAACACTGCTGGCTGTGTACCCAGTAATGTCAGCCAACAGTCGGTCAAACCTAGCTCTCAGACATATCCCACACCATAAAACAAGACCCCACTGGCTCCGAGCGGGAAGAGAGCGCGGGAGAGAAGCCAAACATTGGGCAAACTAGCACCGAGTGCGCCATGTTTGATGTGGGCAAACTAGCACCGAGTGCGCCATGTTTGATGTGGGCAACCTTTACCAAACTCAGCAACATGGGGGGGGGTTATCGGTAGAGTTGTGTGTATTGACCGCCTGACACAAAGTGACTAATAAAAAAGAAAACCAAAAAGGAATATCAACTGCCAACAAATGTCACCCCCCCCATGCGCCTTTGCCGCGGTCGCCTCGCCTGTCGCCGTACGCGCCAAAATGACGTTTGCGTTCCAGCGTGGCTGCATAATGTAGATCCTGCCCCGCCCCCTTTTTCTCTTTTTTCTTCAGCCCTGTGATTGGTCAACATGAGAGGGGCCGGGCGAGTGTCAAGGAAGTGGGCGTGGCTTGGTTTGCCCGAGTTAGGACTGTGAGGAGTGAGAGAGGGGAGAAAAAAAAGGAGGAGGTGTGGGGGGGGGAGAGATTGTTTGAGCGCGAGGCGCCGGCGCGCGGGAGACAAACGGAGAGCGGGAAAGGGAGAGGAGAGAGACACAGAGCGAGGCCGAACCGCACAGCCCACCTTCATCAGCACGGTAACCGCTAACGGCAGGCCCCCAGGGTGTCTGCACCGAAATAACACTGTGTTAGCATGGCAGCATACTATGGGTGTAGATATCTGCCATCCTGACACCCTGTGTGTGTGTGTGTGTGTGTGTGACACCGTATACTATATACACACTATAAACAATATAATATACACTATAAATATACACACTATAAATAATATATATACACACTATACTATATACACTATATACTAATATATACTATAAATAATATACACTATATACACACTATACTATATACACACTATACTATATACTAATATATACTATAAATAATATAATATATACATTATAAATAATATATACTATATATACTATAAATATATATTAGATATATACAATATAAATAATATACTATAAATAATATACTATAAATACACTATATACTATATATACACTATATACACACTATATACTATATATACACTATATATAATATAATCACTATATACAATATAAATATAATATATACACTATATACTATATATAATATAATCACTATATACAATATAAATAATATACTATACATAATATAATATATACTATATACACTATAAATAATATATACTATATATACACTATATACTATAAATAATATATATACACTATAAATAATATATAATATACGCTATATACAATATAAATAATATACTATAAATATAATATATACTATATATACACTATATATAATATATAATATACACTATAATATACACTATAAATAATATACACTATAAATAATATATATACTATAATTATATATAAATACTATATATACACTATAATATACAATATATACACTATAAATAATATAATATACAATATATACACTATATACTATATATACACTATAATTAATATAATATACACTATATACAATATATACACTATACAATATAAATAATATACTATAAATAATATAATATATACTATATATACACTATACATAATATATACAATATATACTATATACAATATAATATACACTATATTATATATAATATACAATATATACTATATATAATGTACTCTATATATACTAAAATATACAATATATACACTATAAATAATATACTATATATACACTATATTCACACTATATACTATATACACACTATATACTATTAGAGATGTCACGAACTTCCCGCGAACATGTCGCCGCGGTTTGCCGCGAACCGTTCGCAGCGAGCTCCAGTCAGCTGGAGATTGGCCGGGATGTGTCAGCTGACTGGAGCTCGACGCAAACGGTTCGCGACATCTCTATATATTGTATACACACTGTATATTGTATACACACTGTATATTGTATACACACTGTATATTGTACACACACTGTGTATACACACTGTATACACACACACACTGTATACTCTATATACTATATACAATAGATACTATATATACACGATAAACTATACACACTAAATATATGTACACTATATATACTAACTATACACACTGTATATAAAATATTCTATATATACACTATTCTATACATACACTATATACTATATACACTATATACATCTCTCTATATATCTATATCTCTCTATCTATCCATCAGGGGTAGGCAACCTTTTAGCAGCACTGTGCCAAAATGGGATTGTGATGTCCAGTAGCGTGCCGGTCCTATTTGTTTTTAATTGAGGTGTGTATGTTGCTGTATTCTGCATGTGTAATTATACTGCAGTTGCTTGGTATTGTTGTATTTGTGCCTATATGAGCTATTATGTTCATGAGTAGTTTGTGGTATTGTGTATGATACCTATGAATGTAGGCCGGCGCGCGGGAGACAAACGGAGAGCGGGAAAGGGAGAGGAGAGAGACACAGAGCGAGGCCGAACCGCACAGCCCACCTTCATCAGCACGGTAACCGCTAACGGCAGGCCCCCAGGGTGTCTGCACCGAAATAACACTGTGTTAGCATGGCAGCATACTATGGGTGTAGATATCTGCCATCCTGACACCCTGTGTGTGTGTGTGTGTGTGTGTGTGACACCGTATACTATATACACACTATAAACAATATAATATACACTATAAATATACACACTATAAATAATATATATACACACTATACTATATACACTATATACTAATATATACTATAAATAATATACACTATATACACACTATACTATATACACACTATACTATATACTAATATATACTATAAATAATATAATATATACATTATAAATAATATATACTATATATACTATAAATATATATTAGATATATACAATATAAATAATATACTATAAATAATATACTATAAATACACTATATACTATATATACACTATATACACACTATATACTATATATACACTATATATAATATAATCACTATATACAATATAAATATAATATATACACTATATACTATATATAATATAATCACTATATACAATATAAATAATATACTATACATAATATAATATATACTATATACACTATAAATAATATATACTATATATACACTATATACTATAAATAATATATATACACTATAAATAATATATAATATACGCTATATACAATATAAATAATATACTATAAATATAATATATACTATATATACACTATATATAATATATAATATACACTATAATATACACTATAAATAATATACACTATAAATAATATATATACTATAATTATATATAAATACTATATATACACTATAATATACAATATATACACTATAAATAATATAATATACAATATATACACTATATACTATATATACACTATAATTAATATAATATACACTATATACAATATATACACTATACAATATAAATAATATACTATAAATAATATAATATATACTATATATACACTATACATAATATATACAATATATACTATATACAATATAATATACACTATATTATATATAATATACAATATATACTATATATAATGTACTCTATATATACTAAAATATACAATATATACACTATAAATAATATACTATATATACACTATATTCACACTATATACTATATACACACTATATACTATTAGAGATGTCACGAACTTCCCGCGAACATGTCGCCGCGGTTTGCCGCGAACCGTTCGCAGCGAGCTCCAGTCAGCTGGAGATTGGCCGGGATGTGTCAGCTGACTGGAGCTCGACGCAAACGGTTCGCGACATCTCTATATATTGTATACACACTGTATATTGTATACACACTGTATATTGTATACACACTGTATATTGTACACACACTGTGTATACACACTGTATACACACACACACTGTATACTCTATATACTATATACAATAGATACTATATATACACGATAAACTATACACACTAAATATATGTACACTATATATACTAACTATACACACTGTATATAAAATATTCTATATATACACTATTCTATACATACACTATATACTATATACACTATATACATCTCTCTATATATCTATATCTCTCTATCTATCCATCAGGGGTAGGCAACCTTTTAGCAGCACTGTGCCAAAATGGGATTGTGATGTCCAGTAGCGTGCCGGTCCTATTTGTTTTTAATTGAGGTGTGTATGTTGCTGTATTCTGCATGTGTAATTATACTGCAGTTGCTTGGTATTGTTGTATTTGTGCCTATATGAGCTATTATGTTCATGAGTAGTTTGTGGTATTGTGTATGATACCTATGAATGTAGGCTATGTATGGGAGCTGCTTCTAGAATTGTGTGTGTAGATGCATGTTACATTGTGTGTTTGGGAGTGTGTATGTGAGAGGCTGCATGTATGGGGATTGCTAGTGGTGTGTGGATTGTGTGTATGTTTGTGTGTGGGATGATCGTATTATTTGTATGAGGGGAGGGTTATTGTGCATTTCTGTGTATATCTAGCAGTGTGGGTGGCTTCCCTGTTGGGATCAGGCTGGCCAAGTACAGCTCAAGGACAGGAGCTGCAATAGCAGCTGCGGGATGTTCTACTACAGTGCGGATTCTCATTCACAAGTGCTGGGATTAAGTGAACTGAGATCACTTCCTCTACGTGTTGCACCTTAGCTGCATATGGCGTTAGGTAGGGACGGATGCGCGCAATGTTTTTGAGATGGAAGTGGCAGGATTTGGCAATCAACTGGACATAAGGGGTGAAGGAGAGGTCAGAGTCAAAGAGAACACCTAGGCAGAGAGCCTACATGGTGGAGTTGATGGTAGCACCATTAAGGTGGAGGTAGACAGACGGGAGTAGCAACACTTAAGGGAAGAAAGATCAGAAGTTCTGTTTTGGACAAGTTGTGTTTAAGGAAGTGGGCAGCCATCCAGTTAGAAAGAGCAGAGAGGCAGTCAGAGACACTAGTCAAGAGGGGCGGTGAGAGATCAGGGTAGGACATATAGATTTGCGTGTCATCTGCATAGAAGTGATATTGGAAGCCAAAAGAGCTGATGAGTTTACAGAGGGAGGCAGTGTAGATCGAGAACAGTAGGGGACCAATGACTGAACCTTGGGGGACACCAACAGAGAGAGGTTGGGAGGAAGAGGCAGAGCCAGAGAAAGAAACATTAAACTAGTGCTGGGTGAGATAAGAGGAGCACCAGGAGAGAGCCTCACCACCTGTTCGTATTAGCAGATATCTGAAGTTACACTGACTCCTGATAGGCCAGAGTCTGTTTGGCTCTAGCAGCCTTGAGTGCCGTGCAAAGACATCACGAGTGCCGTGCATGGCACTGGTGCCATAGGTTGCATACCTCTGATATATATACTATATATACTGATTACAATATACGATTGTAACCCCCCCCCCCCATGACCAGTCTAATGCTTCCCCAATGGCATGATTGGAACCCCCCTGCGACCAGTCTGCTTCCCCAATGGCATGATTAGACCCCCTCCTCCCCCGGGCAGTGTAATGCTTCCCCATTGGATAGCAAGTGCGCAGGTAAGGCAAATCGCTGCCCTGCGCCAATCAACAAAACCTCATGGAGATGCATTGAATCAATCGATCCCCATGGGGAGTGTTCACTTTTTCAGTGCAGAACATGAAGATGCTGAAACTTAGGAAGTTCCTCTAAGGGCAGGGCTATGGCAAATCAGGTACTCTCGTTTAGTGTTAAAGGGACTATATAGCCACCAAGACCCCCTTAGTCCTGTTTTAGAGAAACTGCAATGATTACCTTTCAGTGCTAAGACTGCCTCTAGTGGCTGTCAATCAGACAGCTACTAGAGGCACTTCCTGGATCTTAACATAATTTTGGTCGCCTGACACTGGGCATCCTTACATTCTGCGTTAGGACATCCGGTGTCAGATAAATCCCCATAGGAACGCATTGAGCATTGCTTTTCTATGGGTAGAGCCTAATGTGCTCGCTGCTTATGTGCATTAGGTTTCCCCCATCGGAGCAAGAAGAGTGGGAGATCGCTGCTAAAATAGTGAGTGTGGTTTTTGGTACCAGAGGGTACTTTAGTGTAAGGCATACAACTTTGTATTCCTTACACTATAGAATCCTCTTAAGCTGTTAAAAAATAGATTAGCCAAATGGAGGGCCAATTCAATACGATTAAATGGTTGTAGTGCCTATAGTATTGCCTTTAAGGCAGGGCTTGACAAATCCCAGGTCGCCAAGGAGACCAGGAAACTTGTCCTGCCACCTGGGATTTGTGAGCTTGTTCAGCCTGTGAGGTGATGAGAACATAGGCAGGCAGTCTGCTCATGGAGAGCTAGCAGAGACAGGCAGTCTGCTCATGGAGAGCTAGCAGAGGCAGGCAGACTGCTCATGGAGAGCTGAGGGAGGCGGATGACTTAATGTGACACGTGAGGAAGCTGTAATCTCCCTGCTCTGCACACCTTTCAGGAGCCAGAATATGACGTTACTCCGGCTCACTAAGCCTTGCGTGAGAGGGAGTTGAGTAGGAAGATGACAGTAGTCCCATTGGACCCCAGGGAAAAACTATCTACTCCAGCTGTCCAAATGTATGGAGGCTGGGTGGATTTAAATTAAAATCAAAAAAGTAATTATTTGTGATTGAGTCTGTCGACGAGTGTGTGTTCCCTCCAATCACATGGGAAAAGTGTTTTTACTCCCCTTTTTCCCCCACACCATGCTGGTGACGCCGCTGTTTGTCCCACATCCTTGGCTGAAACCCTCAATCTTGACGATCTTAGTCAATCCAATGCTTCCCCATAGGAAAGCATTGAGACTATTGCGCATGCACAGCAAACTGCCACTGTGCCAATTTAACTTCTCATCGAGATGCATTGAATCAATGCATCACTTTAGGGAACGTTAACATAGGTGCTTCACAGAGTGAAGCAGTGACCAAGGAAGCACATCTAAATGGCGTCTGAGTGACGGTTTCACCAGGCAGCAATATAAATACTGCTTTTTGTCTGAAAGACGTTCAGAGACAGGATATAGACTTAAGCACTACATTAAAGGATCACTATAGGGTCAGGAACATAAAAATTTATTCCTGTCCTTATAGTGCTAAACCCACCATTTAGGTGGCTTGCCCCCTCAGAATGGGTTAACTTACCTACCTTATTTTCAGCTCTCCCCAGGTGCGCTGGTCCCTTCCCCATGGTGACATTACCAAAATTGCTGTTTTTTAGCCAATCCAATGCTTTCCCATGAGGAAAGCATTGGATTGGCTAAAATTGGCAAGGGGCGGGGCCAAACGCTTTTTGGGGCAGTCAGCACCTCCTCATAGAGATGCGTTGAATCAATGCATCTCTATGAGGAAAATTCAACGTCTCCATGCAGTGTGTGGGGATGCTGAATGGCAGGGCTGACTACTGTGCAACACTGAGCCAGTAAGCACCTCTAGTTGCCATCTGAGGAGTGGTCACTTGAAAGAGTCCCTACGGGCAATGTTAACACTGCCTTTTCTCTGAAAAGACAGTGTTTACATGAAAATGCCTGAAGGGAGCTATTATACTCACCGGAACAATTACATTAAGCTGTAGTTGTTCTGGTGACTATAGTGTCCCTTTAAGCTGTAGTGGTTCTGGTTAGGGATCGACAGATTATCGGTCTGGCCGATCTTTGGTATTTTCGGCAATATCGGTATCGGCCATTATAGATACCGATATTGCAGATAATACCTCCTAGGACCGCCGGACTGGGGAGGGCCTGCAGGAAGCTGTTCCTTACCTCTCCAGCAGCTCCTTTAACTCCCCAGTGCAAATCTTGCGAGTCCTGCAGCCGCAGAGCGTTGCCACGGGTTACCATGGCAACGCTCCACGCGGCACTAAGGTCTGTGAGATTTCCACAGGGGAGCTGGAGAAGCTGCAAGAAAGGTAAGGAACAGCTTCCTGCTGGGCTTATGAGCCTGGCGGTCCTGTTTAAGTGGGGCATACCTGTCCCATTCAAACACTATAGGTACTTAGACCACTTCTTCTAATTGAAGTGGCGTTGGTGCGGCGATCCCTTAGCCCTGCAATGTCAGAGGTGTGAATTAAAGGGACACTATAGTCACCTGAACAACTTTAGCTTAAAGAGGCAGTTTTGGTGTATAGAACATGCCCCTGCAACCTCACTGCTCAATCCTCTACCATTTAGGAGTTAAATCCCTTTGTTTATGAACCCTAGCCTCCCTGCATGTGACTTGCACAGCCTTCCATAAACACTTCCTGTAAAGAGAGCCCTATTTAGGCTTTCCTTATTGCAAATTCTGTTTAAGATTTTCTTATCCCCTGCTATGTTAAAGGACCACTATAGTGCCAGGAAAACATATTCGTTTTCCTGGCACTATAGTGCCCTGAGGGTGCCCCCACCCTCAGGGTCCCCCTCCCGCCCGGCTCTGGAAAGGGGAAAGGGTTAAAAACTTACCTTTTTCCAGCGCTGGGCGGGGAGCTCTCTGCTTCCTCTCCTCCTCTTCTCCTCCTCCTGGACTGAATGCGCACGCGCGGCAAGAGCTGCGCGCGCATTCAGCCCGTCGCATAGGAAAGCATTTACAATGCTTTCCTATGGACGCTTGCGTGCTCTCACTGTGAAAATCACAGTGAGAAGCACGCAAGCGCCTCTAGTGGCTGTCAATGAGACAGCCACTAGAGGAAATAGGGGAAGGCTTAACCCATTCATAAACATAGCAGTTTCTCTGAAACTGCTATGTTTATGAAAAAATGGGTTAACCCTAGAAGGACCTGGCACCCAGACCACTTCATTAAGCTGAAGTGGTCTGGGTGCCTAGAGTGGTCCTTTAATAGCTTGCTAGACCCTGCAAGAGCCTCCTGTATGTGATTAAAGTTCAATTTAGAGATTGAGATACAATTATTTAAGGTAAATTACATCTGTTTGAAAGTAAAATCAGTTTGTTTTTTTTTTATGCAGGCTCTGTCAATCATAGCCAGGGGAGGTGCGGCTAGGGCTGCATAAACAGAAACAAAGTGATTTAACTCCTAAATGACAGTGAATTAAGCAGTGAAATTGCAGGGGAATGATCTATACACTAAAAACTGCTTTATTTAGCTAAAGTAATTTAGGTGACTATAGTCATGTTCTTTATTTTTTTATTTTTTTTTTTTGTATTTGTCCAAGGTACTAAAGTGATAATTATCGTCCTGACAGGCTTTTTCTTCCAAAAAAAAGCAATTAAAATTGAATTTGTGTCTCTCCTCTGTCATCCCCCATAGTGCCTGTGTGGTGAGTGCTGGTGGTATGTAGTGTTTGGAGTGTGTGACTGTAGGGGGTGAGTGCTGGTTGTGTGTATGTGTAACTGCATGGTGTGTGTACTTGCTCCTTGTGGTTCCAGCACTCACTGAGTCAGTTTATGTTGGAAGTCTGCAATGTGCTCTAATGAGAACCGGAACCGCAGATTCTGTGTTTATTCACTTGCTGCCCAAACAGACTGCCTGCCTGCCTGGTGACTAGAACTGCATGTCCCAGGTGTCGGGCAATAGAAATTCCACATCCCTGAATGGAAAACATTGTTGTTTACAGAAACTGCAATGTTTACATTGCTGGGTTAAGACTCACTCAAGAGACTGTCAACCGAACAATCACTAAAGTTGCTTTCTGCTGTTTCACAGACTTTAACTCCATGAAACGATTATGGTAGTCCTCTCCTCACACTTTGCATAAGGATGTCCAGCATCTTCTAAATCCGAGGTCCCCAGGAAAATGTAATGCTTTCTTCTGTTCAAAGCTTAATATGCGGCCCTTGTCCCACATGCTCATTAGCTTTCTCATCGCACTGACGTCAGAGGAATGGAGCCAGCAAGTAGTTTTTGTTTTTTTTATCTTTGAAAACAGCTAGCGGGCAGAGCAGCATTCTAGTGTTAGGAATACAATTTTATATTCTTAAAGGACCACTCTAGGCACCCAGACCACTTCAGCTTAATGAAGTGGTCTGGATGCCATGTCCCTCTAGTATTAACACTTTTTTTTTTTTTTTTTTTATAAACATAGCAGTTTCAGATGTTTATAAATGGGTTAATCCAGCCTCTAGTGGCTGTCTCATTGAGAAGTCGCAAGCGTCCATTGGAAAGCATTATGAATGCTGCTGCGCATGATCATTCAGGCGGAGAGGAGGAGGAGGAGAGCTCCTCGCCTGGTGCTGGAAAAAAGGTAAGTTTAACCCCTTTCCTTGCCATCCAGCCCAGCGGGAGGGGGTCCCTGAGGGTGGGGGCACCCTCAGGGCACTATAGTGCCAGGAAAAAGAGTGTGTTTTCCTGGCACTATAGTGGTCCTTTAACACTATAGTGGTCCTTTGACGTATTAATGTGCACTTCCATCTGCCAGCACCATAAATATTACAACTTACATTTTTACAAAACTGTTCTGCAAACTAAAGGTGAATTAGCAAGGTTGCTTCCTAGCAAGAAACCAACTATCCTAAACTGTAGAAATTGTGGTGTTTGAAGTGTACTTTTATACTTGTCAGCAACCACCGAGGGCACTAAAATACTTGTGTAAAAACATAGTTATGACTGTTTATGCATGTTTCTGGAGTTATCTATTTAGTGCAGATAGAGTAATTTGTGAGAATAAACACTTCCCTATATACTACAGGGGTGTGGAATTTAAAGGGACACTATAGTCACTAGAAAAACTACAGCTTATTGTATTTGTTCTGGTGAGTAGAATCATTCCATTCAGGCTTTTTGCAGTAAACACTGTCTTTTCATAGAAATTTCAGTGTTTACATTACAGCATACCTCCACTGGCCACCCCTCATATGGCTGCTTGAGGTGCTTTGTGGGAAAGTGCTGCACATGTGACTGCCATTCAGTGTCTCCGACCTCTTAATAGATATACATTGATTCAATGTAAAGTAATAGTCCAATCGGCTTGTTCATCATGATTTATTTGTCCTGACACAACTAATTTTGAGTACAAAGATTTGGACGCCAGCCAAAGCTCTGGACTTTGACACGGTTAGTTGCAAAATTCTGACTTTTTACAGATTAAATAGAACATGGAGGTATAAATAGATCTGGAAACATTCTATAGCTCCATTTTATTTACAACATGGCTATTTTTCTGTCTCAGATTTGCATTGGGAGCTGTTTTTTTAATTTTCAAACAATGCTCTTTTGTGAATTACCTGGAGTGTGTCTCCCTTTGTATATAACTCACTAGAAAGGGCCAGACCGCAAGTGAATGATTACTGATGTCTACACTTGGCAGAGGTGAAGACCTTACATTACCTGCGCCCAGCACTTTTCCCCCAAGGGAAGAACTGCAAATTGCCCGCGGCAGGGCTAAAACTAAAAACCTATCAGGTGATAGAATTTCAAAATCCCTGATATTAAAGAATTACACAATAATAGTTTCAGTGTAAATGATCTTCCATGTCTCTTGTTTTATGATACAGACTTAGTGTTCTATTACTAATAGTGTTTTGTTTTGGGTTTTTTTTCAGTGTGTTTGACCATTTTCTATCATGGCGAAGGTACAGATCCTCAACATGGTGGTCTTGGATAACCCTTGCCACTTCCACAACCCTTTTCAATTTGAAATCACCTTTGAGTGCATAGAAGACCTGCCAGATGGTGAGTATCTCTTGCTGGTGGAAATTATAAAGGGATGCTCCAATGGTAGCTTTTATTGTTAACAATTAAATATACCACCTATAAAAACATGCATAATTAAATGCATGTTTTTATTGGGGGTATATCTACTCTTGAATTTAGCTCCACTGAACTCAACAACCAGGAAGTAACCAGATCAGTTGTCTTATTGACAGCCAGTCTGTATAACAGTTAATTTACAAAAGTGCCAATTTATGTTAAAATTGCAAGAGCTTTAAAGGACCACTATAGTGCCAGGAAAACATACTCGTTTTCCTGGCACTCTAGTGCCCTGAGGGTGCCCCCACCCTCAGGGACCCCCTCCCGCCCAGCTCTGGAAAGGGGTTTAAACTTACCTTTTTCCAGCGCTGGGCAGGGAGCTCTCCTCCTCCGTTCCGCCCCGTCGGCTGAATGCACACTCGCGGCAAGAGCTGCGCGCGCATTCAGCCGGTCGCATAGGAAAGCATTCATAATGCTTTCCTATGGACGCTGGCGTGCTCGCACTGTTAAAAATTACAGTGAGTAGCACGCAAGCGCCTCTAGTGGCTGTCACTGAGACAGCCACTAGAGGCTTTGGGGGAAGGCTTAGCCCATTAATAAACATAGCATTTTCTCTGAAACTGCTATGTTTATTTAAAAATGGGTTAACCCTAGCTGGACCTGGCACCCAGACTACTTCATTAAGCTGAAGTGGTCTGGGTGCCTAGAGTGGTCCTTTAAGTGTTTGGAGAACTTATTTAAAAAAAAAACAAAAAAAAAACAATGCCTGCAATATCCCCTTGTTAACCTCTGCCCTTGTCTCAATTAATCATATTCTCCAAATTCCCTTTACATCCCTTTCCTAAGTCCTAATTACACTAGGCACAATAACATCTCACTGAATATTACCTAGCACTGTCTTCCCACATGTTGTATAGTTTTCAAGCAAATTAATGATAAAGATCAAAACCTAGCCCCTACTGGAGGTATATTTAAGGCATACATTACACACTTCCTTGTAGTCATGCTAAGTCATACCAGAAATGGGCGCTTTGATAGCCTGAAACTTGTCAGCTGACATTCTTAGCCAATCACAGATGTCGAGGTTAATGCTTCCTCTTTAGCTCAAGCAAAATCAAACATCCGGTGTTGTTACTTCCTTGTTATGTAGCACAATGGAGCCAAAATTGTGAGACAGGCAAATGCCCAGAGCACCTGCCTAACAAAAATTATTCTCATTGAGCTGCATTGAGAATTCTTTGATTGGACAGCCACAGAAAGTCTGGGCTGGGTTACAAGGGGAGCGCTTGCAAAATAAGCCATCTCAGCTTTTGCACGCTGTTTAGCTATACCCCAATATAAAAAAGCATAATTAAATGCGTGCATGTTTTTATGGCGGTATATCGCCTAAACAGTGATTTTTGTGTTTAGGTAGTGGGGGTTTCCTTTAACTAAAGAGGCAGTAGCACATTTTACTATAGTGATTGGTGTACTTTAATATTATAACCTGCATAATTAGATAGTGTTCAGTTATAGTGCAAGAAATTAACATTCAATTCTAGTAGATTTTTAACCTATACTAATAAGTTATATTTTAGAAAACCTTTTTTTTTTTTCACAACTTTTTTATTTTTCCATAAATGTTACAGTTCCAACTTGCTTTGCTATTATGTTCATGTAGCATTTTCCTTCTTGTTCTTGAGCAGATTTGGAGTGGAAAATAATCTATGTGGGGTCAGCAGAAAGTGAGGAGTATGACCAAGTGCTGGATTCTGTGCTTGTTGGGCCTGTGCCTGCTGGACGCCACATGTTTGTGTTCCAGGTGAGTAGGTGGTCTGAAAGCAACACATCAACTTTAACCCCTTAAGGACCAAACTTCTGCAATAAAAGGGAATCATGACATGTCACACATTAAGGGGTTAAAGCTGAAAATCAGTGCAATTTAACAGCCTAGATATTCAAATTTTTTGTTCTTGGGCTAACAAAAGATGGTAAATTTTGTAATCACTGCAAGTCTTTTTTTTATTTATTTTTTTTATGTTTTTTTACTTTTTTTAAGAAATGGTATTATTGGATTTGCATGATACACATTCATAATGTTCAGAGATTTATCAGTTGTTCATATATTATATACAGAACTGGTTAACAAGTATAATAATTTACATAAGGTACTTATCAATATATTTCACATGGTTGAGAATCATCTCCAAGTTTATATACATTTAATAGGTATTAGTCACCCAATGCTCATGTTTCTTTCCCATCGTAACTTACTCCGCAAAGGAGATTTTAGCAACTTTCTCAACATTTCTGCTGCTGTCTTTTTGCAATATATTTGCTCTGCGTCTGTGGCTTGATGCAGTTTTGTCAAACTAAAACTTATGTATGGGTTGTTTTTTTGTTTTGTTTCCCCCCCAATCAATGTCCTGGCACACAGTCTACCATGTAACTTCATAGGGGAACACTGCCTTCTCTGGAATTTAGGAAATTTAAAGGGACACCCTAAGCAACAAAACTTAGTGAAGCAATTTTAATAAATATAGCGCATTCAATCTTGTTGCTCGATTCTCTTCCATTTAGGCGTTAAATCACTTTAGTTACCGTTTATGCAGTATTTTCTTTTGATGCTCATATTTTTAAGTTTGTTAAAAGATTCGGCATATTGCATCATAATCCGTTTCATAACCACGGACAGTGAGTGAGCCATGCATGGTAGGGCGTTGCTTGGTGCAGCTAAATGGAAGCTCCTTGCAGGATCTTTGGCACCACTGAGGTTGCGATTGGTAGACCCCCCTTTCTCCCAGTAATTTGGCAAACTGCTCGCATTTCACTTAAATACATTTTTGTTAAACATAGGAAAAAAGTAGACAAAATATAAAATCTGGGAAATTGCTGTTCCTCTTTTACCTCTGTTGTGGTATGTATATATGCACACAGCACAATGGAAGGAACACATAAGCGAGCACACATGCTCATACATTTTTCTGTTAGGTACCTGAACGCACCGGGAATATCTTGAGGTGATGTTGCTCATAACACTGAAATTCTACTGTCGTGGGTTATGATGATACATTGCAGTTTTTTTTGGTTGGGGGGGTGAGGGGGGTGTTAATATATTTCCTCTTCAGCTTCAAGCATATTGTCAGTTGTTCATAAGTGATTGAGTAGCCTTATCAATTGTAACAAACACAAGTCTTGGCTGATATTCGATTTAATTATGCCTCAGTGCAAACCCATGTCAGTGAAAGGGAACACTCGCAGGTCTTCATTCCAAAGTGATATTTATTCTTTAGTGCAAAGTTACATGTAGTTGTAGATAGACGTTTCGACCCTTAATGGTCTCTTTGGACCTTGGAAAAAAAAACACTAAGGGGTTGAAACGTTGATTTACATGAAGACATACAAGTTCTCCCTTTTATTGTGGGGTAACAAATAGTGTGTGTGTGTGTTTTATTTATGATATAAAATAGTTTTTACCAAAAAAAAAACCTGGCTTTTTTTTTCTTTGGCATTTTTGCAAGACTAAATAAAATTAGTCTTACACAAAAAACTGGGGTGCGGGGCCAGAGCTCCATGGCTGCCGGTCGCATATCCTCTCACAGCTTACAATAAGCCCCAATTACTTCATACCAAGCGCTCATATTTTGTCGCCAACAGAGACTTTCCTATCACCAACACTGACCAGCACACTCCGAGGCAGTGAGACAGTCTGCTGTTACTCACCGTGGAGGAAGTGGCGCAGCCTAGTACAGATGCCGGACGGGAGGGACTGTTGTTCTCTTGGCCCGCGGAGGTCAAGGTGCTCGCTGAGTCTCACTGCTGCCCCTTTACACCTCCCGGTCCCCGCCGGTTCGCATACTATCGTCCAGTGTGGAGTGGACGCCTATTCTGTGGTAAACTAGGAAGGGGCAAAGGCTGGAATGCAAGATGGCGGCTACCAGAGTCCTAAAGGCACAAGGCCTCGCAGCACACCAAGCTGACCTCATGATTCCCTATCCCAGCACCATGGATCGCATTGATGCATCTTTTAGCAGATTCTGGGCAGCCTTGGAGGAACAGAGGACCCGAGCACGACAGAAACCGCTCTGCCAATGGAGACCTCAAGGAGGGAGACCTAGGGGGTGCCTTGCAGTATGATTCTTACATAGTTACATAGCTGAAAAGAGACTTGCGTCCATCAAGTTCAGCATTCCTCACAAATGTTGTTGCTGTTGATCCAAAAGAAGGCAAAAAACCTGGTCTGACGCACTTCCAATTTTGCCACAAACTAGGAAAAAATTCCTTCTTGACACCAAAATAGCAGTCAGATGTCTCCTTGGATCAAGCAGCTATTACCCCACTAATTAGAAATTATATCCCTGTATGTTATGTTTTTGCAAGTATTTATCCAATTTCTGTTTAAACATCTGTATGGACTTTGACAAAACCACCTCTTCAGGCAGAGAATTCAATATCCTTATTGTTCTTACTGTAAAAAAAACCTTTTCTTTGCCTTAGATGAAATCTTTCTTCCAGCCTAAATGTGTGACCTCGTGTCCTATGTATAGCCCTGTTTATGAATAGATTTCCAGATAAAGGTTTGTACTGGCCCCGAATATATTTGTATAAAGTTATCATATCCCCTCTCAGGCGCCGTTTTTCCAAACTAAACAGATTTAATTTTTTTAACCTTTCTTCATAACTAAAATGCTCCATTCCTTTTATCAATTTTGTAGCTAGTCTCTGGACCCTCTCCAGTGCCATGATATCCTTCTTTAGAACAGGCGCCCAAAATTGCACAGCATATTCAAGGTGTGGTCTTACCAGCGATTTATAAAGAGGCAAAATTATATTTTCATCCCGAGAATTTATGCCCCTATTTATACATGACAAAATCTTACTGGCCTTAGCAACTGCAGATTGACATTGCATATTGCTGCCTAATTTGTTGTCTATAACAATTCCCAAACCCTTCTCGTGTGTGGTTATCCCTAATTCACTACCATTTAGTGTGTAAGTTGCTTGTGCATTCTTAACCCCGAAGTGCATAACTTTGCATTTCTCTGTTAAATTTCATCTGCCATTTTAGTGCCCAGTCCCCCAATCTATCCAAATCTCTCTGCAGGAAAGCAATATCCTGCTCACATTTTATTACTTTACAAAGTTTTGTCATCTGCAAACACTGATACATGGCTTTCAATGCCTATTTCAAGGTGATTTATAAATATATTAAATAGAAGTGGTCCCAAAACAGAACCCTGAGGGACACCACTTACCACTTTTGTCCAGCCTGAAAATTTGCCATTAATTACAACTCGTTGTACTCTATCCTTAAGCCAATGTTCTACCCAATATTCTAATGTCATGCTGTTGCTAGACAAGCTACACACAAGGCTACCTGAGCCTAGAGTCAAACAGGGACCAACCCCACTACTCAACTACCCCAACCATACAAACAGAAGAGCCCAAGCCAAATCCGACAACGACTGCTCAAACCTGAAGTGGACTTCTGCAAATTCCCAATTGGGGAGAACTTGGCCTCACAGAGTAACAGAATTCATATCACAGGAGTGCTGGCTCTACAACATGCGTGGGGCATGGAGGGAGCCCAATCTTGGTCTCCCAATACTACTCAACGGCATGGACTGTGCTTAGACGGCAGATGTCTGCCTAGTCACTGCGTCGGCTGACCATCACTTATGGCGGGCTGCTCTCCCAACGTATTCCTGGACGCAGACTTTCTTGCTAACCTTCACTATGGCGCTGGTTGCCCCGGCGGATCACAATCCTTGTTTTACAATATTGCATTATAATTAATTTTATTTACCTTGGTCTAGACCGTTTATCCTTCCATAAGAATATGCTATAATGTCAATCTAGACACATATCCTTAGCCTGTTACCTAGCCTGTGATATACATTAAAACAAAAGATTCAGAGTAATACATGACTAACCCTGTATGTTGACCTTGCTGACATACTCTGAATTACTATTTTTTTATCTTTTGTATAATGCGATCATCTCAGTAAAAGAAAGATTGACAAAAAAAGCTGTTTAAAACCAGAAGTCCTGGGTTTAATTAAAACAAAAATGTATGTGTTGCTCTGTGATAAAATTGCAGGCAAGTTAGGTTGAGCAGCAGTTAGTCAGATAACCATAGAATCTTACTGAGCATGGCTGTACCTTCAGATTTAAAAAAATAAATAAAAAAATTTGTACATCTGCGTGGTGCATTTGGACACCAGGCTAGTTGTCAGCGGCACAGGATAGCCCCACTTGGTTTGCAAATCAAATTCTGTGACATTTGGAGCATTAGATAACAAGTACAGTACGGGGTCCCCAAATTTAGGACTGTCCTGAGTTTAGTATAGAATATTGATAATCCTCTCATCAAAATGTGGTGCTTCGACGTCTTCCATGTAGTCTTAAAAGAGCCTTTTAGTGTTGGTAGAGATCTGCCTACTTACATGCTCATTTAAAACTTAGACTGATACTTGATTAGGCAGGAGGAGCTGTAAGAATTATTCTGAAACTTCTTTGCCTGGGGTCAGCTTATATCTGCAAAAATAAATGTATGTATGTGTTAGAAACAATTATGTGCTAGTAAACTAGGACAGTGGTCCACCATGCACCATAATTACATGTTTACGTTATTTTGTCATGCATTTGTTTTAAAATATGTAACCTGTCTGTTCTCTCATTCACTAGGCGGATGCCCCCAACTCAACTTTAATACCGGAGTCTGATGCTGTAGGGGTTACTGTGGTACTAATTACCTGCACATATCGAGGTCAAGAGTTTATCAGAGTGGGTTATTATGTAAACAATGAGTATTCAGATCCAGAACTGAGAGAAAATCCACCTCTTAAGCCAGATTTCACCCAGGTATGACACCTTTTTCAACCAACAAGATTGTGTGTTAAGACACTGCCACACACTCTATAAATGGTATAAAAATACACTGCCACACACTCTATAAATGGTATAAAAATACACTGCCACACACTCTATAAATGACAGAATTTTGATTTTGACAAGTTGTCTAGCAGTGTCTACGGTTTGACCAGTAAACTAAGTCAAAGCACAACAGGTTTTAAGCACAATTAGTAATTTATTCCTGCAAATTAAAGGAACACTATAGTCACCTAAATTACTTTAGCTAAATAAAGCAGTTTTAGTGTATAGATCATTTCCCTGCAATTTCACTGCTCAACTCACTGTCATTTAGGAGTTAAATTACTTAGTTTCTATTTATGCAGCCTTAGCCACACCTCCCCTGGCTATGATTAACAGAGCCTGCATTGAAAAAAAAAAAACTGATTTTACTTTCAAACAGATGTAATTTACCTTAAATAATTGTATCTCAATCTCTAAATTGAACTTTAATCACATACAGGAGGCTCTTGCAGGGTCTAGCAAGCTATTAACAGAGCAGGGGATAAGAAAATCTTAACTAAACAGAACTTGCAATAAAGAAAGCTTAAATAGGGCTCTCTTTACAGAAAGTGTTTATGGAAGACTATGCAAGTCACATGCAGGGAGGTGTGACTAGGGTTCATAAACAAATGGATTTAACTCCTAAATGGCAGAGGATTGAGCAGTGAGGCTGCAGGGGCATGTTCTATATACCAAAACTGCTTCATTAAGCTAAAGTTGTTCACGTGACTATAGTGTCCCTTTAAGTAATCTGGTGGATAATGAATATTACCATAAATGCTTCTATGTTCCAAACAATCACTCATAACTAGCCTGCAATGTAGTATTCTGTTGAACCCCAGCAGCTGGGTTGCTTCAATTGACACAGTTCATGTACATTAGCACTTATTGTGTTATGTAGTCTCTGTCCTGTGTAAACTCTCACTGCCATGTAGTCCGAGGGGAAATGGTAATTATTAATGTCTCCTTTCTGTTATCCTAGCTCCAGAGAAACATCCTGGCATCAAACCCTCGTGTGACACGCTTCCACATCAATTGGGAGTCTGCTAGCGAATCAAAAATGGAAGATATTGAAAATGTAGACCCAGCACCTAATTCTATGCTGCCTCCTACTTGTGCTCCCACCAAAGGCCTTTCAGGTGCACTTAACACCATTCCAGAGAACTCTATGGACTGTATATGATTACATTGACAGCTGGAGCATGTGAGCCATGCACAGGAATCTACTTGCAGCCCCCTACTCACTGAGATCAAAGCAAAACACAGACTTTCAATGAGAGACTACTGCAATAGTTGCTCATCTCATTGCTGAACATTATTGGTGTTCAGTCACCTACTCATCTTGAAGACAACTCACTTTTCTGATTCAGATTGTTTAGTCCAAATTTTGCCTTTTTATTTAGTGTATTGTTTGGGGTTGCTGCCTAGCTATTTGTATTTTTTTTCTCTATATATGTATCTAAGAGACAAGATGAGAGGCTTGTGACTTTCGTCTATCAAGTGCCACTGCCATCTTTCACCCCATCTCCAGTTTACAGGGAAACTACTAGTATCTTGGCACCAGCATCCTTCTTTTAGCAGGCAGCTTACTCAAATGTCATTCAATGCATTTCTTCCTGTTTTTTCAAGCAACCCCTGTGTGGGTAAGACACCGCATAACTACTGATTTGTGAAAGCAGTAGCCTGAGTGTAGTCCTTTAATGATGATGTATTATATAACTTTGAAAACCGCTATGTTACATTGTTACTAATGCTCAATGCTACTGCACACAGTCTGGTAGTCCTCTTCAGTGTACATACTGTTCGCTACCATACTTGACTTAATAATTTTGATACAGGCACTTGACTTGCACAGGTACCAATATGCAGTTTCTATGAAGACTTACATTATAATGCTCACTTAATACTTAAGTAGTAAAGCTACAGTGTTTCATGCCAAGATCAATGTTTCCAGAGCATCACATCCACATGCTTTTTTGTTTTTTTGCATCAGGGAATTCAGCTTTGACAGTTTCTTTTGAATACTTTTCTATCATATCTCAAAGTCCTAATTCTACCTGTGAATTTCTTATTCTCCACTAAACCCATGCAAAATCTGTGGCAATAAGGCTCTCACCAACAAATGCTTTGTAAATTTAATCCGTTGAAACCATTACCCCATCAGCTAACATTTATTTATGTTTGTGGATCTCCACACAGCCAGGAATTTCATGGAGTGAGCATTGTTTTGAGCTCCCTTCTCAAGGTTTGTCTGACTTTGTACTTCGTGTATGGCTCGTTTCTAAACGGCCAACGCAAACTTTTCCTTGTGTTAATTTTTTTTATATATATTTGTATATATATATTGTGAGTAGTAATATGTTGAAATAAAAGCACTTAGACATATTACTTACCAATGCAGTAATGTCACTTTTAAATCCTATACCAGAATTCAAATATATTGATACTAATCGCGTATCAGACTTTTTTTGTTGAAGCAGCTGTGTTAAAAGGGAACCTGGTCGTGGCAAGTTCACTTTAGTATCAATCACCCACAAATTCTTTGAATACATCATATTACACAATTACGCGTTATATTAAATGTACAATATATAGACATAAACTCTTCTCCAAGCCAGCACACCTTTATAGGTGTTACACCTGACAATGGACCACTGGCACTCTCCTGCCTCCATCTTTGTTTTCCCCTGCAGGGATGCTTCTCCAAGCATGACAAATGTCTGCTGTGACGCAAACACTTTGGCTTTATTGTCCTCATGCTGACATCTGAACGAAGAGCAGTGTCTCTGTTCCTATATTCTGTAGCCTGCACTATCAGAATATGCACGGCAGTAACCATAGCAACCAGAGCTCATTGCCTGTGGTTGCTATACTTATAGAGCAGAAGGGACTGCCTTCAGGGGACTCCTGTGCTCTCCCTGTCCATTATTTGGCACAGTCTAGATATACCTATTTTAAATGGGTTCTCCCAATCTATAAATTGCTGGCGTATCTTGTAGCACAATGTATAAATAAAACTGTTTTAAAACCATAAAAGCTTGTAGGTACCATGTTGGGTGTCCTTTAACAGAGGGGTTTTATTACATTAATTGACATTATACAATAAATCTTGTCATTTTTCTGATAACTATGCAAAACTTTTGTTTTTCCTTTCACTCCCTTACCCCAGCCAACTCCAGTCTCTCACTCCTATATTATTAGATATGTTGTTCTAACTCCCAAATTATTTTATGGCTGTTTTTCCTTTTTGGGTGAATTAATGCTCAAGACCTAAGACTTTAAAAAAAAAAAAATTCCAATCCCTTACTGATAGCAAAATATTAAAAGTGCCTGAGATTCCAGACCTCTTTTTTGACAAGACATGGCTATTGCTGGAGGATTCCCAGCAATAGCTGTCAGAAATTGCTCCATATTATTTTTTATTTTTTTTTCTGCTCAATGTGGCACCGTTCCACAGTTGTCTGGCCATTATAATAGAGCAAGTTTGGAGGTTTCCCAGAGTTTCTGTATGTGCCAATTGTCAGGTGGTCCAGAGTCCAGGGCCAGCTGTTAAAGTGACCTGGTCAATCTACTTCACGAGAGCTTTCATCACATGCTGTGCTGTTTCTACGGTACATAATAAAAACTATCCTATGGCCCAGCTAGCTCCCACGGGCTGTCCAGACACTCCTTAGGCTGCCTAGTGCACAAAGTACTTGGGGGGTACCCAGAAACGTCATGAAGGATGCTGCAATTCAGTTAAACTTGCTCATTCCCAGGACCTGCAACTGAGCACTTTTTGAACAGCTTGCAATTCTAAACCAGAGCTTTCTGGGGACATGTATCTTGTGGGAAATGCAGTTTTGGGGATATTATTGTAAGGCTCCCTGCCAGTTAACTCAATCAAAGAATAATTTGTCTCTAGACACCAGGGCACGGAGGGTGAGATTTTTAGTTTGATAACTCCTATTGGAAATGTATAAATATGTGCAAGTTTCTGAATAATTGTATGGTTTACCCTCATCAAGCACGGCCTGATGCTATAAGCATAAGCTATATTCAAACTAGCTCGTCTGTTCCAGAGGGAAAGAAATATTCAAAGTATATAGATATTCACATCTAGAGGCATCTGCAAATGCCCTTCTCTCTCAAAGACTTAAGGAGACGAGCCCCTAGAAGCTGCGAAAATAGCCAGATAGCAGTGGATGGAGATATCCTACCAGTTGCTAAAGGACATGTTGGGGGCCAGACGGTCAGCAATAATTCGAAAGCTGCTCATGTTTCTGAACTCATTGAGGGGTATTAAGCTAGCATCTCTAACACTATTTCTTCAAACTAAGTGGACTTTCAGAGGGAGATGAGGTCCTAACTGGTGTTGTATGGGCTTAACCCCTCCAGAGATGATTTGCTCTGTGATGACCCAAGTGAGTGCCATCTTACAGGTGGGGAAAAAAACTCACCAAATTTGACTGACTGAACTCAAACATCTATGGGGACCTGCCGCAGCTCCTCTGGCTAAGGAAAAAATACCCTTTTAATACATTTAAACCACTTTAACCATTTGGATGCAGATGAAGATATTAACTGGTATTTGCAAGATTTTGAAAGACCATGCACATTTCATCATTTAGACCTTGCATGCCGAGTCTTAACCATTATTTTTTAAAATTATTATTGGCATTTATATAGTGGCAACAAATTCCATATTGCTTTACAATATTATAGGAGGGAGAGATTTAACAATAAATGAGACCATTACAAAAACTAACAGGAATAATATACTGAAGAGGACCCTGCTCAAACAAGCTTACAATTGGCCGGGAATCAATTGGTACATACTGCTGAAGCATAGCAAGCAGTCCTGGAAGAAAATTTATGGAATATTCAGAGTGAAGCTAGCTCGGAATGCTATAACCTCCGAGGCATACGGCGGGTGCTTTCTGGAACTAAGGAAGGGTAATGGGCATGTCGCCTACAGTGGGCCGCAATGAGCAACCACTGTGGAGTAAACTGTTGATATATTTGGAACAATTTTATAATCTGGTCAGTGTGGAAACAAAGGAATGGGTCTAGGACAGTTGACCCCTTACCAAGGGGATGCAGTTGGCGGATGAATGTCAGGATGCCTGGGGGACAGAGTGCCCCGTACCCCGTGCATGCCTGTGGAGGACCAGTTTCCTTCCACCAGGAGGAGTGCTGTGAACAATTGACATCTGGCTTCTGGTGCTGTTTAATGGGAAATCATAAAAAGGTTTACAAGGAACCAGGGCAACACTAACTCTGGTTCAGAGAAATCGAGTGTGACATGTCCTGTAATGGCCCTAATTTCAGGTGGTTGGAATTATATGGGCAAAATTTAGCTGAGCATTTTTTTTTTTTTTTTGGTGGGTCTGAGGTTTGTATTCAGCAAGATAAACTAAGGAATTGTGGGAAAAAGATGTGATGGAGAAATGTATTTGTTCCTAATTACCCATTGTATGCAAATGACCCTCTGTGTGTAAATGTGTAAACCTTTGTACAGCTGCAATTAAGAGTTCTTGTCCCCAGCACCATGCTGTCTAGTGTCCGTGGGGAGCTATAAACATTGAAGTGCGATTTTTCTCCTGGAATAAGAAAACTACAATGGAGGTACTCCACCTGAGTACTGTGCTCTGCTACATCTAGCTCAGGATGGTGAGAAAACGGGCGCTCGGTGGCTGTTCAAGTAACTGGAGGTGCTGCTTTTTTTGTTTTTTTTCTGGCCTGGAGTTTCTTGAAATGTCTTTATCAAGGATAGGCAACCTTAGGCACTCCAGATGTTGTGGACTACATCCTCCATAGGGCTGGCAAAGCATCATGGGAGGTGTAGTCCTAAACATCTGAAGTGCTGAAGGTTGCCTATTCCTGTCCTACAGTATGGCCAGATTTGCAGTATCTGTCGGCGGTAGGGAAACAGGGAGACTGTCCCAGGGCTCTGTTACAATTGATGCCGACTGTAGAGGAGCACTTTAGCCGGGTGACCGCAAGCTTTAGGGAAACCTTGGTTAAGTCTAGTCGCTCTAGTTGTGGACCAACAGGTACCCAGTGGCAGTAGCGCTGACTAATAGGCTGAAATGGTGGCAGATGCCCTAATGCGAGTGTTCCTGAGTGGGGTTTCCACGGGAGATCAACTCTGATAAGGGCACCAATTCTGTGCCATCAGTCCCACCCAAAGCTCCTCTTATCATCCACAAGCCAATGGCCTGTGCAAGCAGTTTAATGAGATCATGATACAAATGCTTTGGACGTTCTCTACTGCTTACAAGGACAGGGCACAGTTCCTACTGCACATACTCGACTCCTACTGTGAGCTACTGCAGGAATCCCCGGGTTCTTCCTATTCAAGCTATTTATGGGAGGACCTTGAATATTTTCACCTACCAACCATCTAGAAAAAGGGGACCAGGCAGGGTTTATAGAAAAAGTCCAACTAGAGGAGGGAATGGGGCTATGGGTAAAAACCGGTACAACAGCTGTTGGAGGAAAAAATACATCTTTTTCATTGAGCCTGGATACCACTTTAGCTACCCGTAGAGTAGAAACCCTGGGACAGAGACCCCCTGAAGACAGCCCCCTTACTGCATCCTGAGGTGGCCTATTTTCAGGAGTCGAGACTGTTACCGCTCAGAACTCTCTTTCACACTTAGTGATTAACTCCCAAGTAAATATAGCCCATCCCTAGTCATTAGGTGAGGCTTAATGTAAGGGTAAAAAAAAAAAAAATACATTTTATACCTGGGTCCCATACAATGGGCTCACCAGGAGAACAATGGCATTGTGTAATACCGGGCATCTAGGTGTCTGTATTTGGAGTTCCAAGAAGTTTGCAGGTTGCACCCGATCTCGTGCATGCTGTGCCTGTGTGAGATACGCTGGTCTGTGAGGTCCTCTGAACAGGGTGCTGAGTTGGGAAACATGGTCTGGAGGAGGAATAAGGTTATGCCAAGTACTTTTGGGAGGAGGTGGGTGGTGGGAGCCATGTACAAGTCCTGAGTTACCGGGTGGTCTGTCCCACAGGCCGCCCTGTAAGGAAGAAAGGCAGAAAGAAATACAGTTCTCAGTTTAGGGGGTCTCTGATAGAATACTGGTCATCACTGGTAGTGCTGGTACCATTTCTACGTCGCCCGATTGATAAAAACTGTAACCGTTGGTCGGACTCTAAAACCAAAGAAGTGCTACATAGATATGATTGAAGTGCAATGCCTGCGGCAGCGGGTGGGATTCAGGAAACCGCGTGCAGAGTCTGCTAAGGTTGAGACTGTTGCCAATTGGCCCACCCCTTGTTCCAAAACTTAAGTTATGGGCTTACTATTTATGGCTGCATAATACAAGTGAATTGTCCCAGAGTATAGCACAATTGTAAAGTCGCTGACTGACTTAACTAAAAAGAATCTCTCAAGACAAGTCCTGTGATCTCCCAAGTGTGAGACGGCTTTCCAAAAGTTAAAAACACTGGTTAATGTACTTGGAGCTCCTGATCCAACTAAGCGCTTTATCATTCACACAGATGCCTCAATGTTTGGACTGGGATCCGTTCTAGTGTAGGGTAGAACAGACGGCGGAGAACTTCTGGTGGCGTACATCAGCCATGGAGAATGCGTTCCTGGCCTTGTTTTGGGGACTGAAGAAGTTGCAGCCCTATCTTTCTGGATGCTCTTTTACATTAATCATGGACCACAACCTGTTTAGTGTGGTTTAACCGGGTGGCTGGAGTCTAGCTATCCAGCCGTATAATTTCACAGTACACTACTGACCCGGCAAGCAGAACAGAAACGTCAATGGGTTGTCCCAGCTAACCAAACTAGAAAACTCTTTGCGCAAGAGACATCCCCAAGCCAACCTGTGGCGGTCAGACTGGAGTAATCTGTTAAGGGGGACCCTTTAGGACATAGTGGGGCCTAGCCTACTGCCCAACTAACCCCCATGTACTGTCAGGACCCTCCTTAGGCTGCATGTGGCACAAAGCGCTTGACGTGGAGGTACCCAGAAACCTCATGGAACTGTACACTCAATCTGAAGGATGCTGTCATCCGATGAAACTTCAAGTGGGTATCGCTCAGTCCCAGGATCACCAAACTGAAGGCTATTTATAGAGATGATGAGGAGGAGATGATGAAGAGTCCAACTACA